TATTTCATTGTTAATGCATCTTAATGGCCTGGATAGAACCCATTAAGTTTAGCTGTGTTGGGACACATGTCAGTGAGCTAAAAAAACAGATAAAACTTTGAATGATTGCAATGTGTCAGAGAACAGGAGAAGGCTTGTTATGATCAGCTTAAGATTTTCAGTGCAGGTGAGTTTTCTACAAAGGAATTTAGTAATAATAATAATAATAATAATAATAATAATAATAATAATAATAATAATAATAATAATATTAGTAATAATAATATTAATAATAAAAATAAAAACAAGAATAAGAATATAAGAATAAGAATCTTTCCTCCGTAAGCCATGCGTGTTGTAAAAGTCAACTAAAATGCCGGGAACAATGGGCTAGTAACCCCTTTTCTTGTAATAAATACTAAAAAGAATAAGAAGAAGAAAATTGTCAAAGTGGGAAGTCTGAATGTGCGTGGATGTTGTGCAGATAAGAAAGAGATGATTGTGGATGTTATGAATGAGAAGAAGCTGGATGTCCTGGCTTTAAGTGAAACAAAGCTGAAGGGGGTGGGAGAGTTTCAATGGAGAGGAATAAATGGGATTAGGTCAGGGGTTTCAAATAGAGTTAGAGCTAAAGAAGCAGTAGCAATAATGTTGAAGGATAAGTTATGGCAGGAAAAGAGGAAATATAAATGTATTAATTCAAGGATTATGTGGAGTAAAATAAAGGTTGGATGTGAAAAGTGGGTTATAGTAAGCGTATATGCACCTGGAGAAGAGAGAAGTGTAGAGGAGAGAGAGAGATTTTGGGAAATGTTGAGTGAATGCGTGGGGAGTTTTGAACTAAGTGTGAGAGTACTTGTGGTTGGGGATTTTAATGCTAATGTGGGAAAAAATGTTGTGGAGGGAGTAGTAGGTAAATTTGGAGAGCCAGGGGTAAATGTAAATGGGGAACCTTTAATTGAGCTATATGTAGAAAGAGGTTTGGTAATAAGTAATACATATTTTATGAAAAAGAGGATAAATAAATATACAAGGTATGATGTAGCACATAATGAAAGTAGTTTGTTAGATTATGTACTGGTAGATAAAAGGTTGATGGGTAGGCTCCAGGATGTACATGTTTATAGAGGGGCAACTGATATATTGGATCATTATTTAGTTGTAGCTACAGTTAGAGTAAGAGGTAAATGGGACAAGAGGAAAATGGCAACAACAAGTAAGAGGGAGGTGAAAGTGTATAAACTAAGGAAGGAGGAAGTTCGGGTGAGATATAAGCAACTATTGGCAGAAAGGTGGGCTGGTGTAGGTATTAGTTGTGGGGGGGTTGAAGAGGGTTGGAATAGTTTTAAAAATGCAGTATTAGAATGTGGGGCAGAAGTTTGTGGTTATAGGAGGGTGGGGGCAGGAGGAAAGAGGAGTGATTGGTGGAATGATGAAGTAAAGGGTGTGATAAAAGAGAAAAAGGTAGCTTATGAGAGGTATTTACAAAGCAGAAGTGTTATAAGAAGAGTAGAGTATATGGAGAGTAAAAGAAAGGTGAAGAGAGTGGTGAGAGAGTGCAAAAGGAGAGCAGATGATAGAGTGGGAGAGGCACTGTCAAGAAATTTTAATGAAAACAAGAAAAAAATTGGAGTGAGTTAAACAAGTTAAGAAAGCCTAGGGAAAGTATGGATTTGTCAGTTAAAAACAGAGTAGGGGAGGTAGTAGATGGGGAGAGGGAGGTATTAGGTAGATGGCGAGAATATTTTGAGGAACTTTTAAATGTCGATGAAGAAAGGGAGGCTGTAATTTCATGCACTGGCCAGGGAGGTATACCATCTTTTAGGAGTGAAGAAGAGCAGGATGTGAGTGTGGGGGAGATGTGTGAGGCGTTACGTAGAATGAAAGGGGGTAAAGCAGGTGGAACTGACGGGATCATGACAGAAATGTTAAAAGCAGGGGGGATATAGTGTTGGAGTGGTTGGTACTTTTGTTTAATAAATGTATGAAAGAGGGGAAGGTACCTAGGGATTGGCGGAGAGTGTGTATAGTTCCTTTATATAAAGGGAAGAGGGACAAAAGAGATTGTAAAAATTATAGAGGAATAAGTTTACTGAGTATACCAGGAAAAGTGTACGGTAGGGCTATTATTAAAAGAATTAGAGGTAAGACACAATGTAGGATTGCGGATGAGCAAGGAGGTTTTAGAGTGGGTAGGGGATGTGTAGATCAAGTGTTTACATTGAAGCATATATGTGAACAGTATTTAGATAAAGATTGGGAAGTTTTTATTGCATTTATGGATTTAGAAAAGGCATATGATAGAGTGGATAGGGGAGCAATGTGGCAGATGTTACAAGTATATGGAATAGGTGGTAAGTTACTAAATGCTGTAAAGAGTTTTTATGAGACAGTGAGGCTCAGGTTAGGGTGTGTGAAGAGAGGGAAAACTACTTCCCGGTAAAAGTAGGTCTTAGACAGGGATGTGTAATGTCACCATGGTTGTTTAATATATTTATAGATGGGGTTGAAAGGGAAAGGGAAAAATGCTAGGGTGTTCGGGAGAGGGGTGGGATTAAAATTATGGGGAATCAAATACAAAGTGGGAAGTGACACAGTTACTTTTTGCTGATGATACTGTGCTTATGGGAGATTCTAAAGAAAAATTGCAAAGGTTAGTGGACAATTTGGGAATGTGTGTAAAGTAGAAAGTTGAAAGTGAACATAGAAAAGAGTAAGATGATGAAGATATCAAACGATTTAGATAAAGAAAAATTGAATATGAAATTGGGAAGATGGCGTATGGAAGAAGTGAATGATTTCAGACATTTGGGAGTTGACGTGTCAGCGGATGGATTTATGAAGGATGAGGTTAATCATAGAATTGATGAAGGAAAAAAGGGGAGTGGTGCATTGAGGTATATGTGGAGGCAAAAAATGTTATCTATGGAGGCAAAGAAGGAATGTATGAAAGTATAGTAGTACCAACACTCTTATGTGGGTGTGAAGCTGGGTTGTAAATGCGCAGCGAGGAGGCGGTTGGAGGCAGTGGAGATTTTCCTGTCTAAGAAAAAATGTGTGGTGTAAATATTATGCAGAAAATTCGGAGTGTGGAAATTAGGAGAAGGTGTGGAGTTAATAAAAGTATTAGTCAGAGGGCTGAAGAGGGTTTGTTGAGGTGATTTGGTCATTTAAAGGGAATGGATCAAAGTAGAATGACATGGAGAGCGTATAAATCTGTCATCATGTTTTTGTCCGTCGATTCGACGAGGACCATCTAGTCATCCTGGGGTCGAAGTTGGTGGGTACGCAGATGACTTGTCAGTTCCAATCCGCGCACGAAACGTTCTCTGGCAGTGTGGACAGGGAAGGGTGGCGGCATCGAGGGGTCTGATGGCTCTGGTCTTCCTCGCCTGCCTGCTCTGCTCAGCTAGTGAGATTCTGCTTGCCTCGCAGGATGTTGCCCCTTTCTGGACAACTGCTCACCAGTCATTCCTGTCCTGAGTTATCAGCTCCCACATGGTGTGGTTGATGTTGAAAGCTTTCAGAGCAGTCTTAAGGGTGTCCTTATAGCGCTTCTTTTGGCCTCCTTGAGAGCGCTTTCCATGCTGCAGTTCGCCAAATAAGAGTTTCTTTGGCAGCCGGTGGTCTGGCATGCGAGCAACGTGACCTGCCCAGCGAAGCTGTGTCTGCATTAGGATGGTGTAGATGCTAGGCAGGCCAGCTGTAGTCAGCACTTCTGTGTCTGGGATCTTATCTTGCCATTCGATGCCAAGAATTTTTCTGAGCCGTGAGGTGTGAAAGTAGTTCAACTTTTTGGCGTGACGTTTTGTAGACAGTCCAGGTTTCGCAGCCATAGAGAAGTGTGGTGAGGACTATGGCTCTGTACACCTTGATCTTGGTGCTTGTGGTGATGCCTTCTCGGTTCCATACATTCTTGTGGAGCCTGCCGAAGGTGGCACTGGCTTTGGCAAGTCTGGCATTCACCTCATCATCGATGACAACGTTTCTGGAAAGGGTACTGCCGAGGTAGGTGAATTTGTCTACGGCATTCAGTCGCTGCCCGTTGATGGTGATGTTTGGCTCAACATACGTCTTTCCCGGAGCAGGCTGATGCATCACTTCAGTCTTCGTTGTACTGATTGTCAGCTCGAAGTTGTTGCAGGCATTAGAGAACTTGTCAACACTGTGCTGCATGGCGGCTTCTGAAGCAGCGTTGAGGGCGCAGTCATCAGCAAATAGCAGGTCATTGATGGTGTCAGTTGCAGCCTTGGTTTTTGCTTGAAGCCTCCTGAGGTTGAAGACAGACCCATCTGTACGGTACCTGATGCCGATTCCTGCGTCTGTGTCCCTGAATGCGTCTGTAAGCATGGCCGAGAACATCAGGCTGAACAGGGTGGGAGCAAGCACGCAGACTTGTTTCACTCCATTTGAGACTGGGAATGGTTTAGAGTCTCTCCATTGTCTTGGACTCTGGCCAGCATTCCATCGTGAAGTTGGCGTACGATGGCGATAACGTCTTTGGGCAGCCGTACTTTGCCCTGATTCTCCAAAGGCCCTCTCTACTAACGGTGTCGAGGCCTTGGTCAAATCGATGTAGGGGGAGTACAAGTCGGCGTTCTGTTCCTGACATTTCTCCTGTAGCTGTCTAGCAGCGAACACCATGTCGATAGTCCGCGATCTTTCCGGAAGCCGCACTGGCTTTCAGGTAGGAGTCCTTGCTCTAGATGTTCATTGAGCCGATTGAGTAGAACTCTAGCCAGGGGTTTTTCCTGCGATGGAGAGCAGGGAGATACCACGGTGGTTGTCGCATGCCTGGCGGTTTCCTTTTCGTTTGTAGAGATGCACGATGGAAGCATCTTTTAAAGTCCTGAGGAACTGTCTCGACTGCCATACAAGCTGGAAGAGTTGGTGAAGTTTCTCTACCAGTGCCATTCCGCCTTCTTTGTAGACTTCAGCTGGGATGGCGTCAGACCCAGGAGCTTTGCCACTGGACAGTTGACGTATTGCTTGCTGAGTCTCCTCCAAAGTGGGGATGGCATTCAGAGTCTCGTTGGTCGGAACTGAGGTAGACGTTCGATGGCTTCATCATTGATGGTGGATGGCCGGTTCAGCACGCTGTCAAAATGTTCTGCCCATCTCTCTAGAATTTTCTCCTTGTCTGTGAGCAGCGTTGACCCATCTGCGCTGAGGAGTGGTGATGTGCCAGAGGTGGTAGGGCCGTAGATTTCTTTCAGGCCGTCAGAGAAGTCTTCATATCGTTTCTGTCTGCAAAGCCCTGAATCTCATCGGCTTTGTTGCTGTAGGGAGGAAGGCGGGATGGGGTCGTCCTCGAAAAGGTTGGGGGGAGGGGGTAAATGAGGTTTTGTGGACGAGGGCTTGGACTTCCAGCAAGCGTGCATAGCGTCTTAGATAGGAGTGAATGGAGACGAAAGGTATTTGGGACCTGACGATCTGTTGGAGTGTGAGCGGGGTAATATTTAGTGAAGGGTTTCCAGGGAAACCGATTATTTTATATAACCGGACTTGAGTCCTGGAAATGAGAAGTACAATGCTTGCACTCTAAAGGAGGGTTTTGGATATTGGCAGTTTGGAGGAATATTGTGTATTTTTAAACGCAAAAATTTTCTAAACTGTTGTGTTCTGGGCACCTCTGCAAAAACAGTGATAAATGTGTGAGTGAGGTGAAAGTGTTGAATGATAAAGCATTTTTCTTTTTGGGGATTTTCTTTCTCTTTGGGTCACCCTGCCTCGGTGGGAGACGGCCGACTTGTTGAAAAAAAATAAAAAAATAATAATAATAATAAAAACCCAATAATAGTAATAATAATCTTTAATACTACAAGTACATAACAAGTTATGCAAACCTGTATTGTTTCTGGGCTCCACATGCCCTAATTTTTGTAATCATATTAAATTTATTTTCATGCAATAAATAAAAATATTGGTGCGTCTTATTATTTTAATATATTAATGCTGACAATTCTACAAGAAGAAAGAAGCCCTTAATTTTGGGACTTTTTAGTTCCAGATTTAAATTTTAATTAAATTTTTTTAAAGTCTTCGAATCGCTAGATTCAAAATAATTATTTTAAATTTTTTGCTGTTTAGCAAATTAAATTTAACATTTGATGTTCTTCATTAAAAAAAATTAAATGAAGCTTTTGTTTGCTTGCAAACAATTAAGAAAAGGTGTATGTTTTAAAAGCAGGTTGTTTGCTTTACTTAATTTGGACTTTATTTATCTATGTGTGTTTTATAAAGTCAGCTGTTTTATCACAGAGGATTTTAGAGAGTTGTAAATAAATAAAACTGTAAATTTAGAAAATTTAGAAACATTTAAAAATCGTCTTTATTGGGTTTTTATATTTTGATGATTTCTGTGAAGCTGTTAATACTGTTAAAGAGTTAATGGCTGAGTCGTTCTCAGTGTGGGTTTAAAGTCTTGTCTGGAGTATACCTGGAGAGAGTTCCGGGGGTCAACGCCCTCGCTGCCCGGTCTGTGTCCAGGCCTCATGGTGGGCCAGGGCCTGATCAACCAGGCTGTTACTGCTAGTCGAACGCAGTCCAACGTACGGACCACAGCCCTGCTGTCTCGTCAACTTTCCATAAGGGTTTCATTTATATCTACAGGCTGGTCACAGAAACCCGGGGCCCTGGGGCTTGACCCCCGGAACTCTCTCCAGGTAAACAGAACGCCTTATCCATGTCAGTGGAACGCCTTCCAACTGAACAAAAGAAACTAATGGAAAAATAAATAAAGAAATGATTTAGGAAAAACAAGAAAAATGATTTTAGAATTTTACTTAAATTTAAATATAAAAAAAAAAAAATTGGCCTTCAGTTCTTGTAGTTGGGTAGGGGTAGGTATGGCCCTGGATAGTTCCTCTGATGTTATTTATGTAGGTTATCCTGGGGAGATGGTAATCCGATGTTTCTGGAATCTCCTACCACTTGGATGGAGCACAAGTAGAATAGGTAAGGGCCGGTAGTTGTAGAATGTTAATAAGTATTATTAACACACGTCTTGCTCCTTTTTTCTGGGCGTCTACCTGGAAGACCACGCCAGGAACAGAGCTGGTAAATAAGAGAAAATAAACTGGGTTTCCCATTTGTTATGATAATATAACATTTAAGAATTGAAAAGAATGATAAATGCCAAAATCATTACTGGTAACC